TACAGTTTGTTTTGCCTTTTTTGGGCGACACAAACAGGGTTTTTGTCAAACCCAGTGAAAAAAAAAAAATATATTGTCAAATCCAGTTTAAGACACATTCGGGGTATAAGGACAAAATAGAGGTAAGTTAAAATTAAAATTAAAATATCAGACACATAATCTTGCAGACACATATTCTTGAAATGGCTACTTTTGTCACTGTAGAGTTTGATTTACTATATCGGTAAAAAATCGTCTCTCTGTTTCCATAATCCATTTTTTAATTCGATTTTTATATAAATTAAAACTTTTTGAGTTTTTTATATCATTAGATAACAGCACGTAAATTCTTGGGGCTAAATAGTTAGTATTTCTTTTCCCGATAGTTTTTTCACTTCGTGGGAAAACGATCCCTTCATATCTCCTAGTATTATAAGAGTGTTCATGATGTACAAATTTTATTTTATTTTGAAATATAAAAAACAATATTTTTTGAACGAAAATTTGTCGTACATCTTTTACTTGGGCATCTAGATATAATTGATCTGAGGAAAATAAAATATTTTTTTGGAATATGATTCTTAAAAGCCATTTTTGTACAATATGAACACTATTTAAGAAACAGTCATTTACTCCACCCCACCCTAAAATACCATAAGAAAGCAGTGACTCAACCAGTGAGAAATACAAGACTTTTAATTCCTCAACTTCAAGAATTTCCTTTAAATACCTAAATTTTGGCAAATGACCTCTTATTTTTTTTACTATTTCCTTACATTGTAGATCCCATCTCATATGACGATCAATTGTAATACCGAGGTATTTTACTTTTTCTGCTTCTACAATGTGGTTAGTCGTCCCGATGTTCAGTGGCCCCAAGTTAGGTAACCCAGTTAGGTAGGATGAAAAAGGTAAGTAGTTTGTTTTACTAGAGTTAAGCGTTAATTTATTGAATTGTAACCATTTAGTAATAAAAGGAAAATCATTTTCTATTTTATTTTTTAGATCTTGCCAGTTGGATGAATTATAAAATACTACAGTGTCATCTGCAAAACTGATGAGCTCACCCTGAATATTCAAGGAAAGCATACTATTAATATATAAAAGAAACAGAAGTGGACCAAGAACGGTTCCTTGAGGTACACCGTAAGTAATTGTTTGCGGTGTGCTCATTACTCCATCGATTTCTACTATTTGATCCCTATCTGATAAATAACTTTCAATGAGTTTGTAGGTATTTCCTCTTATACCATACTTCTCTAATTTATTTAATAACGATTTGTGGCAAACGGTATCAAATGCTTTAGAGAGATCTAGGAAGATACACACAGCAGGAATATTATTATCAAGCGAATCATAAATAAGAGAAGTTAACTTATATATCGCATCTTCAGTCGACCTAGATTCTCTGAAGCCATACTGCCGATTGGATAAAATTTTATATTTTTTTAAGAAGGAACAAAGTCTAATTTTTATTATTTTTTCTATTAATATATTGTGGACATGTACTGTTTTTTAAGTCAATTATATAGTTTATATTTTATTTTTAGTAGCCTCTATTTTATAAATAATGCAAGGTTGACAAATAAACTATTATAACATATTATTGCAAAACACATGCACGTAGCTGGGGGAGGGGTCCGGGCTGCCCCCCACCACCACTCAGCATCCACTTCTTCGGTTTCATGGGTTGCATATGTGGGCCAGGAGGTGACATGATAGTAAAACTCCAGCAATTCTCCTGTAATATATTGCATTACCTTTTTTACTGCATTTATTTTTATTTACATTTATTGGAATTTGTTGTTCGTATGCGCATTTGGTAGGAAGGGGTTGACAATTTTTATTTTGCTTCATTAGTTTAAAGCTATGAGATACTATACCACCTATATATTCATAAGTTTTCACATATCCACAGGTGTCATATACAAACTGCCTATAATTTGACAGAGAAAACTCTTCATTGCTTCCTACAGCAGTTTTAATTTTTTTTAAAAACTGAGGTCACTAATTTTTAAAATCTAAAATATCTCCGCAGGTAATTTTTTTATTGGTAAATGATTTAATTTGTCGAAATGACGATATCATTTCCTCATATTTCTCTGAAATATATACACGATCGCATCTTCTAACGCATCTTTTTAGGACTCTGTTCGGAAAATATTGGAAGATTTTTTAAAACGTGTTGTTGCTACTATTTTGAAGAGAAAATTAACAGAATCAACTCTCACAGAGCATTTTCAAAACTAATAAAATAATATTCAAAACATCAACTTCAAAGTAACAGTAATGTGTAAAAACAGTACATGTCCTGGACTTGTACTGTTCTTCCACTCATCCAGTTTCAACGTAATTTATACTGCCGAACTTATTGTGTGTATTGCACTGTTTTTGATCTCAATGAGTGGAGACACATGTTAATATCAATTTGGCTATCTTGACTCAAAACGTCATTTTTTAGACTAGTACTGTTCTTTGACTCACTGATTCAATTATTGCACACAATTTTGATTCCTCGTACTTTATTTCGAGTGACTCGATCGTCAGTTGATAGCTCGGTAAGGCCAATGTGTAAATGCAATCCATCGCATTGTAGGTTGCTTCGGTCGCGATCCGACACTGATTTGGAACATTTCGCGCAAATGCTGGACATGACAAATATGAAGAATTTATATCTTACCAGTTGAAAATCACAAAGTCAATTTTAAATAAATAAACCGTATTTCACAGAGCGATTTGAAGTACGTGTTGCTTTATAAAATGTAGACTACTGTTCTTATTATAATCGAACTCTTCTAACAAGATATATTATTTTAAATTTCTAAGGAGAAAAAATACATATAGAACATATTGCTAATCCATCGATGAAATAAGACTTAACCTTTTCCATTATACTATGACTATAATTGTATAAAAAAGGTCGTCTAAAGTTTATATATCTCACATCGAATTTGAACTACTTATTTTATATACAATTTGTTTATAAATTAATTAATTTCCTGAAACAACATGAATTTTCCTGGAATATTCAAAACCTTCTCCCGGTCTATTTCACATAATCCCGTGTACGCTTCGCAGCAGTTCTGTACATAATAATTTGTCGAAATTATTCCCGCTGAATATGCCCCTAATGATTGCCGCTAGACGGAAGTGATGTTCATTTGCAAATGACTTCATCTTGAAGAGCTTCAACGTTAAGAGCCCATCAATTCGAGCAATCTTTTTATTAAAGCTGCCCTTTTGCCCCTCAATCGACACAATATGAACTTGAGAGTATAAATTTGATAGACGTCGAGGGGTTAAGTTTGTTCTGTATAGAACACCAATCACCCTCGCGTTTATGCTCATTCAATACGTCTTGAATATAAATATGTTCTGTTGGCATATTGAATATTAAAATGTAGACGGGATAACTAGTTTTTGCATTATTAGATTTTTAAATAAAAAAATTAAGAATTCCCATTTTATTTTTCATTTTAGAAATTCATAGATAAATATTGATAATTAGAGTTAGGCAAATATACACCGAAAAAAGTCGAGTTTATACGCATAAATATGCATGATTCGAGTTTATAATATGCAAAAAATGCAGTATATGCAAAAAACGTGTATTCAAAATTATTAGGTAGATACAGCACCTAATAGAAGATTATGATTCTGAAGAATAGTTTTCCCTAAGTACGTTTCACACAGCTTCTATGCGCGCCGTGTACACTATCTCACTAGTAGGGTAGAAACGTGTACCTATTATGGATACTGCAACTTTTAAATCGCTATATCTTAGAAAAAAAGTGTTAAGTCAATAATGTTTGTTGATAATTACATGCTCTACAATACATGCCTGATGTATTTTTATGACAAAACTTACCGTTTGGCTAAAAAATGCAAACAACCCACTTTTGCTAACTTTGATCTTTTTTTGCACATCCGGGATCGATGGGGACTTTTGAAATTCCTTTTATGTCGATGATATAAACTATTAAACCAAGGTAAATGTCTATGTTAAACGAATGGACAGCCCATTTATATATAAATTGGTGTATGCGCTAGATTATTCTCGTTCCCACCATTTCTTAAACAAGCGTCTCCGGCAATATCTGAATTTGCTCCTATAAAGGCTAAGTTCTAGTACATTCTCTAATAAATGATTAATATGGTCTATATGTGAACATAGGCGTCCCTATATTTGGATAAGGGAGGTTCTTCATCAAATATTTCTGGTTTTAAGGACGAGGAAGAGAGACCCAAAGGATAAGAGCATTGATAGGAAATGGTTCACATTACATTATTTCTTCATAAAGTTCTGTCACTAGGTATGTTGAAATTACAATATTTTTGAAAAAATAAGTTTAAATTATCACTGGATAACTTTGATAAATATATATTGGTTGCTAACAGGACTCGTCATAAATCTTCGTTAAATACATCCTCATCATTTGATTTTTTTGACTCTTTTTTGCTAAGTGTGAGGCTGTTTTGATATGTTGATCTATTTTGGTCTGACGTGACCTACAAACAAGAGAAATCGACTTAAGAAAGATTTTTTAAAGCAAAACAAAGGAAAATTAATACTTTTATTTATTTTCCTACGTTTAGGCCTATTGAATATCATATAATTTTGTATTATATTACTATTTTATCTTGTAAGATGACAAAGAAGTTTTTGTTTGAGATAAATTACAACTATTTTCAGACAATTTTTTTTACGATGCTCGATGATTAGATATTAAAAAAAAATACAATAGAAACAAAACAAAAAATAAATTAATTTAAAAATATAATTCTCCCCACGTGATAAAATGGCGCCCAACGTGGGGCCGTAAAAGTTTTTTCCAGAAAATTAATTTTTTTTCATTTTCTGATTTTAAAAATTTTAAACTTGAAAATTTCGAAAATATTTATGTAAGGTTTGTGCTAATAATAGTAGTCCAAAGTTGAACAAAAATAATTTCGTAATTCTTTAAAAATAAAATTTTGCTGAAATACAAAAAAATTAATCAAATAAAATAGAACGCGTTAAAATGCTTAAAGAATTAAAACTGCAGGAAGTCAGGGAGACATTAGGAAAAAGGGGACATGACAAAACAGGGTTAAAGTTGACATTGCTTAATAGATTGGAAGAAGCACTCATCAACGAGGGAGAAGACCCGGAAACCTATGAAGAGGGAGGTATGGATGAAGGAGCAGAAGGAGAAATAATGAGAACGCAAGAGAGACTGGAAACGGAAAACAGAGACGAAAAAATGATGAAATTTATGGAGACAATAATGAATAGGTCAATGGAGAAAATAAAAAAGAAGATGGAGGAAAGCAGGGAGTCCATAGAGAAGATGGAGAAAAAAATTGATAGCCTGAGCAAAGTAGTAGAAAAATGGTTTGAAGATGACGACAAAATAATTCAAGAATTGAAGAATAGGCAGGATGTGACTGAAGTGGCCTTCCTAACGCAGGAGGAGCGCATGTTCGACTTTCAAGCAAACCTGCAGGAAGAAACAAGACAATAAATGAAAAAAATCATAAAACCGTGGAGGAGATCGATGGAATAAAGAAAAATTTAATAAAAAAAGAAAAAGAGAAAAATTTTGGAAGAAGAATTGAAGAAAGGTTTACAAGAAAAGAAAAGGAAATCAATATCAACAGAAAATGATTGATGTGGAATTAGCAAAAATAGAAAGAATAACGTTACTTATAGAAAAGAGCAAAGAGTTAAATAGAAAATTAAAGAAACTATAAGAAGAAATAACGAAAATCATGATGGATAGGAACAGAGGAGACGGAGAAGAAAGAAGAGACAACGTTATGCATAAAAGACTGGAAGAAATATACAAGGAGCTCAAGAATGAAAACATGGGAAGAACAGATGTTGTACTTACAAACACATACCAAGTAAGCAGCGACGAAAACAAGAAATTGCACCCAAAAATATTCACCAGAATATTGGAGAATAAACTAAGGTATATGGACAATTTTGAGGATATTCGAGAAGTAATTCGTAAACATTTGGTGGGACAAGCTCTGCTATGGTATAACAGCAAGGAGCCTGACTTCACAAATTTCAGAAGTTTCACGGAGGCGTTCCTAAAACTGTATTGTGGTGAAATAGCCCAAGGAGAGGTACGTGAAAGGTTATATTTTGGCCGATACAAAGATCGAAGGGGCAGCAGCATGTACATGTATGCTTTGCAACTATATGCCCAGGCACAGCATTTAGAGCCTGCCATAATTGAAGAGGAGATAGTAATGTTTCCAGACGCTCTAAGGCACAGATATCGGAGACGATTGCAGTGCAAAATATTAAAACTTTTGAACTCCTCTCAAGTTACTTAATGAGAGTCGAAAGGAATCTCATTGGCAATAGGCAGACTCCAGTGGAGACAAGAAATCCCGAATATTTACTAAGAGACAAATATAACTCTAATAACAATTTTAATAGTAACAATTACAATCGAAATTTCATAAATTATAATAATAATAACAATAACGGTTATAATCAACAAATTAACATAAGAACGGGTAGGTAATTATCCGTTATACAATAATAATAATCAAAAATATAATAACAACGATAATAACAGAAACCAACATAACAGAAGTAACAATAATAAAAACAACCAAATTCAAAATAACCAAAATAATTACCATATTAATTACAGAAATGACCAAAATAATAACAATTATAATCGAAATAGTAATAACATCAATTATAACAATAATAATTATGGTAGCAACCAAAATGGTATTAATAATCAAAATTTTAATAACAACAATCGTGAAGTACACTACACAAACCGAATGCAAAATCAGGTCCTTGACGGAGACCAACACTATATAAGCCAAAAGACTGTACAAAATACTAATGATAGAAACAGGCGGGTCCACTATCAGCACAGATCCGCGAGTTTAGATCGGACGATACCGACACAACACAATAGACAAATTTCACGATCACAAGAGGATCTCAGTACGAGAAATCCTGATGGCGTAGCACGCAATCTTTACAGCTATGTCCATCCTAGGGAATTCCTCAAAGACGTTGATTGTTCTGAAATTGAAGAAAAAAAAATGTTGGTAACAGTAAAATGTAAAATAATGGAATTAAGATGTAAATATTTTAATAGATACTGGATCAGAAACATCTTTAATAAGTGAAAATGCTGTGAATAAATTGAATTTGTATGATAATATTATTAAGCTTCCAAAAATTAACTTATTGGGTTTAAACGGGAAGAAATTTAGTGAAGTAAATCGATCAATCAGTGTAAAATTAAATTTAAAAAATAGTTATATAGAAGTGCAAGTATAATTAGTGCTGGAATTGGAGTACGATATACTATTAGGATCAGATGAATAACAAAAGCATAACGCTAAAATTAACTACGAAAAAAGGTGTTTAATAATTGATGAAATTGGAGTAGAATTTGAGAAGGATAATTTGAAATTAAGAATAAAAGAAAGGAAAAATGTAAGTGAAAATGAAAGTACGAAGCTACTATCGAGATTATGGAAAAATGATAACAAGTACAATGACAATGAAGTAGAAACTAAAGTTGTATTAATAAATGAAGATATAAAGAAGAAGATTATGTGTTATGAGATAATAGAAGATAATATGAATTATAAAGAAAATAATGAATGATATAAGGAAGGTGAAAATATGAATAATTATAAAGTGGACATGTGAAAAGACATATGTTTAAAATGGAGTACTAAATATGGTGAAGTTTGTGAATTATTGAATAAGTATAAAGGATTGTTTGACAGAAAATCGAGAGTTGCGGAGAACTTTACACACAAATTAAAGTTGAAGGACATAAAAACGTTTAAAGGCAAAAGCTACCCAATTCCATATAAGCATAAAAATGATGTGAAAATGACGTTAGAATAGCTAATAAATAATTTTGAGACATTATTTAGGAATTTCCACAAATATTATTTGTTTTCGAATCAATAAGCTCAGAACTTTCAATCATATATTTTCATTAATATTATTTACCAACTGTTGATTTGTATTTATTTTTCTCAGGATGCTAGTAGCTACTGAATAAATTCTAAAAACATTTTAAAATTGACGATATAATAAAACCAAATATTTATCGGCATCATTTTTGTAAAAAACTTTAGGCAAACAAATCGCGAGTAGTATCGGAAAAGCTGGCTCATACGTGGTATGGGGATTGAACGGAGATAAGTAGGTTAGAATTCTCGGGGGTGGTTTCATGCTGAAAACTCAATCGTTCTGCTTTTACTTACCCTCGGCAAATATCGAAAATGTAAGGCTTGGAAGATCTGAAATTTTAAAATCTTCAGAAACCGCACTTGAATATTCCATCTCCCGGTTTTCTAGAAATGGCGAAATATACGAGATAGAAATATTGGCCGCTCATAGAGCTCATGATTTTCGTTAATAAATTATGTTGGATGGATTTACCTTGCAGTGCCGGGCTCGATTACACAGAAGCTAAGCTCTATCAAATTTAGGATATTCATAATTACTTTATATTTTATAGTAGATTTTTTAATTGGAACTATGAACATCATCTGCATAGCTTACATAATGATAATGATTATCATTTATTAATGAGTCAACATTGTTTACATACAGTATAAACAAAATTGAACCCTGAGGAACTCCCATATTAATATCTAGTGCATCAGAATTAATAGTATTTTGTTGCCGTTTTGTACTTTTGAAGAAATATATTGCTTCCTAGCACGTAAAAGGTTTGAGATCCAATTTAAAACAGTACCATATTTCTCCAATATATTTAATAGCAACCCATGGTTTACGCAATCGAATGCTTTACTGAGATCACAAAAGATAGCAGCTGGGAATTCAGATTCCTTTAAATGGTGAATAATTTTATTGTAAAATGAAAGCATAGCAGTTGTTGTTGATTTTTCAGCACATAATCCATGCTGATTTCCTGTTATAATGTTGTATCTTTTCAAGAAAGACAGAAGACGATTAAGAAAGGCATATTCAAAGATTTTAGACATACCACAGGGAACAACAACAGGTCTATAGGTTTTTATTTGTCTACGATCATTATTCTTCTCAAATACCATTCATTCAAAAAGCATCAAAAGATCTTTTCCTTTTTTACATAATGCACGGATGGAACGATATTTTCAGAAGTAGCGTAGTCAGTGCTACACTTTCGATGCAAAGGAAAATATCTATAACTTGTTATGTCACTGCGCGGTAGGAACAAAATTTAAAAAAAAGTCAACATAGCGTTAGTCTGTGTATTGTGCACGAATGTTAAATGCTCAGAGTAAGTAAGTAGTAAAGAGAGGACAGTAAACAATGTTTGTGTCGCCATGATAATATGGTCGAGAATTCTAATTAGAGAGAAATAGATTAATATCTCTATCTCTTTGTTTGTATTTGTCAGTTTTACAAAGCTTTTCTCAGACAATTATTCCAGTGTTTAATTTAAATTTGTTCGTGTTGTGGTGTTAAAAGTAATTGTTATTAATATTATATTCATAACAAAAAAGTCATGTTTTGTTTTCACTTCATTAAAAATGCACCTACCTACCTTTTAAAACATTTAATTTTATATTCTACTTATATTCAACATTTTCGCATTTAAAATGACCCAGCGAAATTGTTTTACGGTACGCTACTGCTGAGAATTCTAAAACGAGTGAGAAAGCCTTCATTAGAAAGAGAGATACTGATTATATGATAGCGAGATTAATATTGTATAACTTTATGCAGTGGTGGCCTATCTGCTATTATATTATCTAAGGTTAAATGGAATAAACATATTTTAGTGACAGTGACAGTATTTGATATAACCATGACACTACCTTACCTAAAACAACACTCCTTGGGCAAGTTCGAGATGACGCCCTATGGAGTTGGCAGGGCATGAGCAGAGTTCTATCAAGTTAGAAAGCGAATGTAGTAACATCTCGATCGCGTTCTGTCACTCAGAGTAAAAATTATAACCTCAATCCAGTATGTCAATCAACGGTCAGTTGTATATTATGCATTACAATAGAATAACATAAAATAAACTTTCAGAATTTACTTATAATAATCTATATGAGTTAAATAATTTTAAAATACAAATATTACCAAGCACAAACCCACAGAACAATAATATGGGCCGTTCATTGACATAATTGACATATCATTATTTAACTTCCCGATAGATCTCGATCTTCTAACACAGAGTTAAAAGAGTGCACTCGGAGTCCATACTCAGAGTCATATCGAACGCGACAGATCAAACTCCGAATCTCTAAAAAACGCGATGAACTCAGAGCAACCTGAGTTTCTACTCGAACTCACGGCTTGTTTGATAATTATCACACATACAGTGTTGTCGTGTCCCCATTATTTTAGTTATTAACGCCCATATGTACCGATTTAAAATTTAATCCAAATTTGCAAATCTCATTCAAATAACTAGTGGTTATTTTCTAAGCACTGGCTACGGGTTAGATAATCGAGTTTAGTAATCTGACAACACTGGATTTTTATAAATTTCAC